TCTGTATATATATGTATATATATAGATGTATATATATACATATATACATATATATGAATATATATATATATATATATATATTTATATATATACATATATATAAATATATATATACATATATATGTACATATATATATATATATATATATATATATATATATATATATATATATATATATTATATAAATACATTCATATATGTATATATATATATACATTAATATAAATATTCAAATATGTATATTTACATATATGTATATATATAATTATATATGCATAATATATACATATATATATATATATATATATATATATATATATATATATATATATATATGTATATGTCTGTTAATACATACAGTATTTCCAAATTTCTTTTAAAAATAGTTTTACATTATATATATATATATATATATATATATATATATATATATATATATATATATATATAATGTAAAACTATTTTTAAAAGAAATTTGGAAATACTGTATGTATTAGCAGACATATACATATATATATATATATATATATATATATATATATATATATATATATATATATATATGTATGTATATATTATGCATATATAATTATATATATACATAGATGTAAATATACATATTTGAATATTTATATTAATGTATATATATTATATATACATATATGAATGTATTTATATGATATATATATATATATATATATATATATATATATATATATATATAATGAGAGAGATAGATAGATAGATATAAATATATATATATAAATAATTATATATATATAAAGAGAGATAGATATAAATATATATATATATAGAAATATGTATATATATAGATATTGATATATGTATATAAATATATGCATATATGCATATATATATATATATATATATATATATATATATATATATATATATATGTATATAAATATATATATATATATATATATATATATATATAATATGAAATAGAAAATCAATAAAATGTATATAAATGAATATAGATATATGTAGATAGATAGATAGATATAAATATATTTACAAATATTTATTTACATATATAAATATATATATATATATATATATATATATATATATATATATTATATATATATAATGTATATATATATATATATATATATATATATATATATAAGTATATATAAATATACATATATATGTATATATATATATATATATATATATATATATATATGTATATATATATATATATATATATAAGTATATATAAATATACATAATTATATATATATATATATATATATATATATATATATATATACATATATATATATTTATAAGAATATATATAAATATACATAAAAATATAAATATATATATATATATATTCATCTATATATATATATATATTCATCTATATATATATATATATATATATATATATATATATATATATATTTAATATATATATATGTATATCTGTATAAAAATATGTATATTATATATTTATTCATATATATATATATATATATATATATATATATATATATATATATATATATATATATAAATATATATGTATAAAGATATATATATATATATATATATAAATATATATGTATATGTATAAAAGTAGGTATATATAAATATATATATATATATATATATATATATATATATATATATAATATATGTATGTATTTTATGAAATTTATATATATAATGTAAATAGATGTATAAATATATATAAATACACATATATATGAATATATTAATATATATGTATATGTATATTTATAATATTATTGTTCCTTTTCCCGCGTAAGTATTTTTTGCTTGCATGTCGTTTTGCAATGTCTGTATTTGTCCTTTGATAGGGTATATTGAGGTGGTAATAGATACATTTCCTTGCAGACTCCACATCATAACCTGTTATGTCTTCTTTCCGTTATGCCAGTCATGGTAGGGCAGGAGTAGGAGCATATCTTTAGTGTCCCCAGTGGAACGATTGCTCTCTCAGCCACGTCTCACGGATCGAACAGCACAACCTTGTCACTTGATGTTCTATATTCTCTCGCGCGCTCTCTCTCTCTGAGGCCACATAGGTGGACCAAGAGAGCCGACTGCGCGGAAACACATCGATGACGGCCAATGACCCCTGTCGAATAATAATTATAATAATATAATCATTATAAGCAAATAATATAATAATAAATGAATAATAATAATGATGATAATATAATCATTATAAGCAAATAATATAATAATAGATGAATAATAATAATGATAATAATGTAATGATAAGCTAATAATATTAATATAATGATACGCGAATGATAATCTATATAATTACACCTGGCGATTAATATTGGAATAGATAAGCGAATGATATCAATTTACGCGATTTATTTATTATTGAGCACATTTTTTTCCCTAAAAAGTTGTCATAGCCGTTTAATCATGACAACTAGAATGACAATCATCGTGACGGATATCACCATTTTCACTTTCCTTCCATATAGGGGCAGAGGAAAAGCAGGGGGAAGCTGACACTGCGATAATCCTGGACTCGAAGCTGCATTACTGTACAAGGACACCCATGCGTGGTCGATAAGCATTCTGAAGGTAAGCGTTATTATAAGCTTTAGTAGTAGTAGTAGTATAAGCATTGTTATTATTATTATAAGCACTATTATTATTATAAGCATTATTATTAGTAGTAGTAGTATTATAATTATAGTCATTATTATTAGTAGTAGTAGTATTATAATTAGAAGCATTATTATTAGTAGTAGTAGTATTATAATTAGAAGCATTATTATTAGTAGTAGTAGTAGTATAATTATAAGCATTATTATTAATAGCATTATTATTACAATAATAATAATCATTGTTATAATAATAATTATTATTATCATTATTATAAGCATTATTATAATTATCATTATTATTATTATTATAAGCATTATTATTATTATTATTACAAGCATTATTATTATTATTATCATTATAAGCATTGTTATTGTTATAAACATTATCATAAGCATTATTATAAGAGGTTTACTTACAATACAATTCATTTAACTACAGCATTTTCACAAAGAAAAAAAAATGCATACTATTAAAAAAGGGGGGAATCAGAGAGGTTTAATCATAAGGAATTGTACTTACATCCTGTAATAGTGAATTAAAAAAAAAAGAAAATACAAAATGACTATATCCTCTATGCAAAACAAGAGCACATTGAATTTATACAGGAAAGACACTTCATAAGGTAAGGTCAAGGGAGATTTAGTATATTCATTTCACAGACGTATTTATAGGTTTGCATATAGATAGACTGATAGATGCCTAGCCATGTATCACTCTATAGAATTCTGCGTGAATTCTAAATGTGTATGGGCGTTAATACTGTATCTTAATATATAACTACCTACCCAGTGCTCACACACACACACATTCCGCATGTGTATATATTTAATATATATATATATATATATATATATATATATATATATATATATTAACCTAACCTAAGCAATCAAACTAGATTATTAATTATAATTATTATTAATTATTATTAATTAGTATCACTCTCCCTCTTTCTTATTCTCTCTTTCTCTATTTTATTTATATACAATACACTTTACAACAATACACTGTACTACAGAACTTTCACAATACAAAAGAAAAAACATACTATTAAAAAAAGAAGAAATCAGAGAGGTTTACTCATAAGCAATTGTACTTACATCCTGCAGTAGTGAATAAAGAAAAGGAAAAAAGAAAATTCAAAATTATTATAGCCTGTATTTAAAACAAAAGCTCATAGAATTTATATAGGAAAGAAGAATTCTGTGAAAAAAAATATTATACCCATCTTCTGAATAGTTGATTAAAAACATGATATGCATTCACACACACACACATATTTATGTATCTGTATATATATATATATATATATATATATATATATATATATATATATATATATATGTATATGTAATTCATGTATATATATATGTAGATGGATTCCAGTTGACGTCACATTTTTCACTACTGCGGCGGCGTTGTGGGCCTAACAGGAAACTGTCGGAAAACAATAACTATTTTGATCAGCTGATCCTCGCTGAAAGTACATCTTCGTTTTTATTTTTCATTTCGTATTCTATGCAATGTTTTCCAGTTCAAAGTCTTACGCAGCATTGTCAGAAGATCAGAAATGGTATAAATCTAAGCTTACACTCACACACAGATGCACATACGCTCCCTGATCTGTACATGTTCTAAGACGAATGGAAGAACGATGTTATTTTGATGCCTTTGTTGATTACAATTATTTGACAAATACTCTAAGATCTTTCTCGGATAAATCGCTTAATGTATACAAGTCTCTGGAAGCCTACAATTTTTTCATTTGTGGGCATGTTCAAGACGTATTTTACCATGGAATCGACAAAAGCAGTAATTTCTGTTTCATTAAGTCTGAGGCACAGTAACTTAACCCAATGGTGCCGGGGAAAATGAGGAAAAAATTGTGCCCACTTTCTATGTTTTTCGTGAAATGTCTGCCGATAGATGGCTCTGCTAGCGCCTGATTTAAATGGCGGGAAAAATGTATTTTTCACTAGTGCTATGAAAATCGATGGTGTTATTTTTAACATAAACATTATAATTTTTATAATTTTTTTTTTAACATTAGTAACAGCAAAATAAGATTATGTAAAATATTTCGTAAATCAAATAAACGGCTAAAGGGGCGAGACGGGCGGTGCTCGCAACTGGCTCATTGGGGAGTTAGTACAAGTGTTGCCATCTATGCGTAACAACAATCAAACAAGTACTCACGGTGGGCATAGCACGTACGTACACGTCATACCCGGCACCAAGGAGTTAATTCTGGAATTTTAATTCGCTCTTGCATAGGTGAATGCCTTTTACTTACCTGATATAAATTGAGCACTGCAAATGTGTGCGTTGTCAATTTTCTTTGAGCTCCAGTTCTCACGTCTGATGGCAG